GGGGGGGATGTTTCCAGTGACAGTGTGTAACAAGATTTATTCTTCCTTGGAAATGTTGTTAAATGCTCGTACGCGTTGCTCTAACGAGCAACCCTGACTCCTCTCAGCATAACAACCCGGAACACTCTATTCACCTCCCCCGCGGACTAAAATTTCCCTAGTACTGAAATTTCTGACAAAAGTAGTCCCACGGGACTCATCAAGTTAATCCGCGAGTTTCCCGATTAATTGCGCGAAAGGGCTCGACGCCCGCGTCGGTTGCGTTTCTGTAGGTTTCCGTAGGGTAGGTATATACGTGTATACGTGGTACTCGAATGTTTTCGCGATTATCCGCTAGGCGGCCACGCGCGATGAGTCGAACTAAAAGGACTAGCTTGTCACGTCGCGTGGCACGTAGTAATGTGTAAAGACGCCTAAAGACATAACCTCGTACGAAGCATATACATATGTATATAACCTGGGAATATGTAGTTTACATTAAACTGGACGCGACATGCATATCGAAAAATACACAGTAAAAGGGCGTGCCAGGTTTGTACGTAATGGGTAAAAAGTTGCCATTCCGTCTCGCCCCTCGCGCACAATATGTCCAACGAGCAAGAGTTGTGGTCTCTTGGGAGGTACTCGGAAACTTGTTGGGGTAGTAGGACTAACTGTAACTCAGTTCGATAATTTGACATTTTACGACTAACTGCCCGAAGGAAGAATGGTCGACCTTTCCTTGCCGAAATAACGTCCATCTTGATTCGGCCATGAAATGAAAAAGCTTGAGAAAAAATATCCAAGAAAATTTCGAACTACATCGTACGTAAGTAAGCAAAAAATGGTTATTATTCTTACAAGCAGTATACAAACGTGACAAGTAACGTGTTAATATTTACACTCTGTTTTACCGACTGGCAAATTTTTACCCATGCTCATCGCTCTCCTCGTCTCTGCTTACGTGAAATATTTTCACTTTTACTTATTCATGTATAAGGAAAAATTGTTTTTCTTAAAAACCAAATTAATACTTCACACAAAGATAACTCCATTCGACATCACGTACTATTCAGATATAGGTAAACCGTGTGCAAACAAATTTTTCTCCAGCAACGAACAGTCTGCTAGACAAACAAATGATTCGCAGACCTTAACCAGCATGTTTCTAACGTGCTTCACATATAGTCTACTCCTAACACGTTCATCGTTAGACGGCACGTCTAGCATTGGAACTTTTATGTCACGTGCATATCGCTTTGTGTATCGTGCATATCTCGCGAGTCGATCTAAATTCCCTTGTTGTCATTCACAGACGGCGGTAAGGGGTACCTCTCGCCGGGATAGGAAGAAGCGAGAACGCAGAGAACGAGGTTGCGGAGGATGGAAGCAATGCATCATGGGAGAGGGAGTTACCTACGTGTCCGGGTTTTCGTGGAATCGAGTTTGCTCCCGTGTCAACGTAATAATACATTTTCGCGGCAGTACCCATGCCTGCGGGTAAAATGGTGGAAAGAGAACAAGTGGACTACTTGTAGCAGTCAAAGCCGGACTCTAGGTAAACTATCGGTCTGTATCAGTGCATGAACTGGCCATAACTTTATTTTATCCTCCTGGGTTATATCTAGATTTATCGCTCGGACGTTGGACATGCTATTTCGGCGTTATTTATGGCGGCGTCACCGTAACGCTGGGAACTTGGCGTTGCATTCGGTATACCTACATGGAACGTACGCGTATGCAGTTGTACGAGGAGAGAGTCCAGGTAATACAGACATATAATATAGTACAATAATACCATTCTATTCCTATGTGCATAGTGACAGCGTCCATTCTCTGTACCTATATTGTACAGGGGAGTTATCTTCACCCAGTTGTCGTTAACGATATATACATATATATTAGAATTCTCAAATTTCATTTTGTATCCTTACCTAGTAATTCTTCATTGCAGGACGTTTCTTCGTCTAATTGGCACCTGTGGACCCAGCTTAATTCCAGCTATCATCCACGCGCTTAATGAAATACGTTCTCGTGCACTGAAACTTTACACCCCTTTCCTGCCAATTAGCATCCCCACTGCGTTTTCCAAGGAAAAGCGGGTCGTTCGCGCTATCACTACAATTGTAGGTAGATCTGTTTCTTTCTTTTATTACTCGAGCACCTCTACCGTTGAATATTTATATAGTAACAATCGTAGTTGAGATTCGTGCTTTTACTTATTCGCCTTGGAATTTACTGTTGAAAGTGTTTGCGTTGAACGTAATAACACCAAGGCTTTTTGTATACAGTCTTCTGAATATAGTATATTTAGGAAAATGAATTCTGCCGAAGTAGCCTCGAGGAGATTATAAGCTGTTTTGGGTAAACCCATCATTCTCTTTGTGTACCGGACGTTATCTGGTGTCGAACGAAATACGAATTACAAATACGTAAGAGACGGAGACGGTTTAACACCCTTGAAGACTCGATGTATTATTCAAAACATTCACTGAGACGCGACAGAAGCATTTATGGCGTAGATCCTTGCAATTAATTTAACCAGGTGCTCGGGAACATTCGTACCGCTCGATACATCCCCCCTTATCTGGATTCGATTAAATACGGCATTAAAGAAGCAATTATTTTGTATCGCAGCGCATTTTAATGGGTACTTGGCGAAATCGTTACGAGAGAGCGAAGTCGGTTAAAGGGACTTTTGAGAAAGGACTAACAACGCATAAGGGATTTCGTCAAGTTATTTTAGATGCGGATTAATTATTCGAAGAACGATGTACGCGGGGTAAGGTCTTTTGTATACCGAGAATAGTTACGTGTATTTTTGTCAAACTTCTATATCGTTGATAAATGGCAGCTTGTAATGAAAGCTTCTTAGGATCGACGAATAAAAACTTATTTTGCAAGAAATACTCATTAAACGCGAATAAAGTCTATTTTCAATATGATAAGCTTGAAAATAATATTTATAGGTATAGTATCTAGTTAATATTAAGTTCACGTATTACAATAACGAATAGCATTGCCGTAATGATATTTACTGATTTTTCGTATGAAAAACCCGTTTATGAATGCGAGTACGGTACATTGTCCGACATGTCTTTAGCAATTATATTGCTATATTTATGCATCGTATGCAGGTATAGGTGGTATCCTTTGACCAAATGGAATGATCATTAATTACGTTGGCGAGCTCAGCGGTAGTTACTTTTTTTTTTTTGTACCGAACGAGGTTTGTTCCTTTGAAGTAGTCGGGAAGCGAACTGAAGTTTACTTTGCGTGAAGCCACGCAAATTGTGTCGCATTCATTAAAAGACGAAGAAAAAGAGCAGGCGAGAAGGAAGGAAGAGGAATTAGGAGCGAAAAAGTCGTCGTTTATTTGATGGAATATGAACGAGCCTGCTGACAAGACGTGGGATGAAAAGAAAAAAAATATTAATATTACAAAGAAACAGCGAAGAATGGTATCCATCATCAAAGTTCTTTTCACTCTTTGTTCCTGGTGTCTTTATATTAAAAAAAATAAATAAAGATAAGCAAAATTTCGGAATGCCTTTAAAATATGAATCCCTGTGCAAAGCTGTACCCAGGGGCAAAATCTTGCTTGCCTCTTTTTGTCCCGCATTTTGCTTGCGATTTTCGTTTCCTCCCGTTATATCGTTCTTCTTCCATTCATCTTGAGGTTCCTCGAATTCACAGAGAACTAGTGCAAGCTCAATAGCTCAATACGAATACGCGAAAGACTTTGCGGATATGTATTTATATATTCAAAGGTGTATGAATAAAATATGCTTCTGGGGCCGAAAACAAAAAGTTCACTTCAATTCGTGCGCCTCGATTCTTTCCACGCGTTCACGAAGGAGCCTATCACTCCAGGCGCTTTAGCTCTTGACTGCTGGGGCGTGCAACCCCTCTAGAACGGAAGTCGTCACCAGAGCCAATATTTCCATGTGCCGTGTTCTTAATATCCAGGTCGCAGTGGAGCCACCGAGAATCCTTGCGATATTTTTCTCTTCCCACTGCTGTCGCGCAGTGCAATTTCTATAAGCAGAATAAAATAGGCTGGATCGGTTCTACCCTGTCTTTGCGAGTCGCGGTAAACCCAAAAATCTTCGAGTTTTAATAATGAAAGCCCGGATATTGGATTTCATGGAAATATTTTTCCTCCCCTTTTAAGTACAGTTTCTCATAGTTGGTAAGCTAATAAATTCTTTCCCGGAAAGCCCCCGTCAGAACGGAATATGCGGGATGAGCTTTCTCAGTGGGTCTAGGGGGCGCGGGTCATCACGTCAGATTCTCCTAGTCGAATTTGCCGTGTGGGATAATCGCGCGGGCTTTCGTGCTTCTGCAGAGTCATCAGGGAAGCCCGGTGGGGTCCTAAACATCTCATTGTGGTTCAACCCCTCGAGGTAATACGATAGAAATTTCCCTGCGTCATTTTGGCTTCGCTCTTCTGCCGCCCTCTCGCGTTCCGGCCTCTGCCTGCTGTCCCACTCTTTATGTCTCACCCTCCATCGCCGACCAATTTACAATAGTCAGATCCGTGGGCGCATCGATCAACCCACCTATATCTATTCTTTCTTCGCGACGACCTGGCAGATAGGGTTGTCGCCTTTGAGAAACGGGGCTGCGTTTAAGGAAGAGGGTCTCACCCTTTGTGCTCGGCGACATCTCGAGAAACGTGAATAGCTGAGTTTTTAGGGAAAAACAAGAAAATTAAAAAAAAAAAAGCATAGAGAATGACAGGGATCAAAATTGACGACGCCACGTAAAAATAATATTTTTCTCGAGCGGACAACTTGGGGTAGTAAATCCTTGAGCGATCTTTTTAATGGTTCTTTTTTTTTCAATTATAATGATGTTTGATAATGAACTTCTAATGCTCTTGGGATCGTTGTGCTTAGCGAAATTATCAATGGTGGCTTAGCTATGATTTAATGGCTTGTTTCAAGTGGATCTCAGGGGATGGATATATTAAGCTTGTACAAAGTACCCATCGTAAACTTGCTATTGTACTGTAATAATGCCCTTATGAGGTTGTTGGAATTTTCGAGTTTATTTAAAAATTTTATTGCACCGCAAAAGCCCATTGTTGGGGTTACGCTGTTATTCGAGAATCATGCACGAATCGACAATATGAGAATTTAATATTTTAATCACCTTCGATTAAGGTCCATTGAAATATTGCCAGACTATAAGTTACTATGGGATGCTATCGTCTAACATACAATTTATTGACACTTTGACGACATAATATTAGCCAAATCCAATTATCTTGCGACTTTGTATAGGTACACGAGTATCTACATATATATATATATAGTGTAATATATTATTCATGGGGAATTTATAGGTTTATTTCATTCACGCTATATCTATAGTGCCCTCGCATATCGTATAATATATCCGGATAATAAAATTTGACAGTATTTCTTATATTTTTCCTCGAACGAAAAGATCTCGACGATTTTCCGTGAATTCTCGAGGCTGACGTTATCGACTTTTCAATTATAACGAGAAAGAAACCTTCGTACTGCCGATTATCCCAAGAAAGGTAGACTCCGTCGTGAAAGTGATGATAAAAGGAAGAGTCCAGTCTCTCGCGAAAAGCTGCTTACGTAAAACCCGAAGGGATTTTATCGGCAAGAAAAAGTGCAATACCATTGCATCCAGGGAAGAGGCTAGTTTTGAGGAAAAGTAAGGAAAAAAAATAAAAGGAACAAGGGAGCAACAGTGGAGACGGGAAATAAAGAAGTAAAATCCCGTAAAAAGAATGCAAGTGGAAGTAGTTGAGTTTACACGTAATTAACAGCGTGAATTATTCCCGCGAGACTTTTGCATAGGAAGCGTTACTTGCTGCATCCCGTGCAGTATTACGGTACGGGTGAGGGAGGGGGGATTTCGGGAAGTCGCGAAGGGGGGTGGCTAAGGCACTTACTTTTTGCTCCGAAAGTACTGTTACTCACGTTACCAGGTAATTACGCTACTTCTAAGCTATTCTTAAGAGAGCGAGCAAAAGTTGGGGGCGTCAGGAGGACCGACCCCTAATAACTGAACGTCCTATTTACGTAATACGTAAGTCCCGTGTGAATGGAGGGAAAGACACTTCGAACGAATGGACGAAGGATATCGAATAAATCAAATTGATTTTATTTTTCTTCCATATCCGGAAGTTCAACCCTCCCGACCTAACTGCTTGTCACGTATACTATACATGGTGGGTATATGTACGTAGATACGTAAGTACATACAGGGGTGGTTCACCTAGGGCAATCATTTATCTCGCATGTTTGCAGATGCGCTTCAATTTACGTGAATGCTCGCTCGGGAAGATAGCAGGAAATTGGGGTGTTAAGTATTATCATTGGTGGGTGGTCAGGGTGGGCCACTCGGAATAGGAATGGGAATTGGGGGTGAAGAAGGGCCTGCCTTCGCTTATGTGTATACCTATCGTTGGAATGATTTTGACTCTACCGTGTACGACTGTGTTAAGGGATACAAACGGAAATAAATTAAAATCTCAGACTTGATTACAATTATCTTCGGGCAGGACTTATTTTTCTACTCTGTGTATATATATATATATATATATATATATATTAAAATTCGTTACCAATACGATGTCGCAGGAACTCTCGTCAAACAACACCTATATATACGCGTACACTCGTTCCACGTTCAAAGGTAAAGAGGAGGATTTAAAGCAGTAAAGTAAAAATCGACAAATTTTCATTTTTTTTTGTTTTCGTAAAGTAGTTTTTATTGTGAAAATTCCTGATGTCGATCTGCCATACTATGTGTAAGAGCTGTCAAAAGTCTTATAGATGACGCAATCATACCACAACGTTGATCTCTCTGGTTCCGTTTCTTCCCCGTCACCCCCTTTCTCCCCCACTGGATTTCTCTTGGAACAAGAATTCACTGTATTCTGGATGATTGCTTGCTAATCTTCTCACGTGGTAGTTTACTCATAGCAACCCTTAGCCATAACGTGGTGGGGTTTCGTATAATTTTCGACTAATTAGTAAACCCGTAAACGAGCAGTATACTCGGTACCAAATAATTCTGTGTTGTAGGTATATGCGAATGTTATTAAACCGCCATTCATATTTCGTGCCTCCATTCTGCGAGAAGTCTGAGTTTCATCTCGGAAACTGTATTGGTTTCATTAGTTACATTACTCGGAACAGGGTTACCAAGTCTGATTGTGAGATTCTTTTGGTACACTATAAAGGAGGACACTATAAAGGAGGCCGGAGCATTCGTTTCTTCCAAGGACAAAAATTCAATTAGGTTCATGATTTATTTGCAAGAGTTAAGAATTTTTTTGTACGATACAGTCATATGAGTGACGTATAAAATAATAATAATTAAGAGTTTTACGATTATTGCATTATATCGAATAGTTGTGCCAAAACGCATCTTCTTGAGATATCGAGAAGATAATAATTGTGAAATGTCACTGATGCAGGATTCCTTCCGTTCATGCTAATTTACAAAGCGGATCGAAAGACTCTCTCGTTGAGTTCACGGGAGCGTGCGGCGTATTACGTGAAATACAGATATTTTGCATGATCGAATATGTAAACCTTTCAGAAAACGCATCAAACGTCTTCTGAATGCATTCGGGAAGAAGCTTTGAAATAAAATTTTTATCCTTTGAAGTAATTCCTTGCGGAACGGGTAAAGCGAACGGGAAGCAATAATGTCTTCGCCGTTTCCCAATTTCTCGATCGCGCCAGAAGAAACGTCGGGAATAACATTGAAAATCAAAATCGAATATAATAAAAAGGACGAATCTTTTTCTCGTATAAAAGAAATGTGTATCCAGGATCGTTCATTCGTACGAACCATCAAACCGACAATTCTCCAATCCGTTCCTTCATACGTTTTCGAAGATCCTTTTCGTGCAGGTT